CTCTGAACGTTGTAGGCATTGAACCTGAGAACAAATAATCAGAATACAGCACTCTCACTTTTTCCTCTAATGAGTTGGCTCTCCCAGTAAGAAACAGCAAAAGAACTATGCTCTGAATTCCTTCCTGGCCATAGGTGGCAGCCTGAATGGGAAGGCCGGGCAGTTATTTGCAAAGCTGAGTTAAAGGATTTGCTCTGTTTGAACAGCTGCATTCAGACCCTGAGTTCCCCTCCAGAACCCTCCAAAAGGGATGAGCTCACTAGGGTTTAGCCAACCATTGGGTCATCACCCACTTCTGGGGTTTAGGGAAGTGTCTCCAACCTTGAGTTGGAATCAGGTCGTGGGAGCCCAGGGGTGTTGTGTGACATCTTCCAGTTGAAGATCAAGACTTTGGCGAAGAAGAGAAGAGGTGAGATGTGACCAGGTGGCTTCGTTTCTCATGGTGTTAGACAAATCTGGGCCAGGTCCAGCCGTACTAGAGAGAAGGGTTCCTGGCTGGGGGCAGTGAGCATTTCTCAAGGAGTAGTCAGAATTCTGATAGGACCACAGGGGACCCAGAAGAGGAGGAACAGGAAGAGGCAGGCCTCTGCCAGGCTATGGAAGGGAATGGGATGTTCACAGAGAGTGAAGAGGGAGCCGAACCACTGACCTTTCACCTTTGTAAAAGTGAAAGCAGAACTTAAAAATGTGACATTTGAAATACTATCTGAATATGTAAATTACACATTCACTCCCATAGTTGCTGACACACAGGCAGGACATAAATAATTCTTATGTGGGACAGTGCCACCATTTTTTTAACCCAAGTTCCGGCATTGTCGATGGAGACGTGAGATGGGAGAGCCGGCAGTTCCTCGGGCTCCCGTCAGCTTTCCCGTGGGTTCCAGAGCACGAGTGAACTCCTCTCACTCCCTGGCAGAGGGCTGAGGGCAGTGGGAGGGAAGCAGCAGCTTCTCAGCTTCTCAGCAGCTATAAAAAAAACTTGAAGTCTGATTTCCTTCTAAGGCATCATGAGTCACTGGACGCTCCGGCCCTCGGTGCCCTGGGAAGTTCAGCTCAAATCGGAAATGTGTGCATGTGTTTTTCTTCCTGAACCAAAACTGCTGAAAAACTAGATGACGTCACTTGGACTGAATCTCCTGCAGGCAGTGAATGGTAGCTTCCTATTTCTGTGCTGCCAGGAGGATGGAAGTCACTTCATGATCAGTTTCTTTGACCCCCGTTCCAGTATTACATCACAGTGTTAAGAGCAAGCTTACCCTCCGCTCCACCCCCAACAGGGAGCTGCTGAGACTTTTAAAATGCCATTTGTCATCTCCAAGTGTACAGCATACCTACACTCTTTTGCCTCCCACCCTTTAGGCTGCAATTTCAATTTAAACACCAAGTGACGCCAAGCTGGGTTGGTCACAATACTAGAAAGCCACAGGTAGAATGTACCTCGTCCAATAATCTGATTTTAACTGAGGTGTAGAGGGGTAAAGAACCTGTCCATGGCTACAGAAGGACAGAAGCAAAACTAGGAGCCGGGCCTAAAGTCTCAGCAGAGGGCTCTGTCCCCACGGTGGTGTCTCCATCCTTGTAGACGAGGGGCTGGCTGTGTCTCAAGCCCTCTGGCCAAAGCAGGGGCTTACCCTGTGATCGTTCCCGTTCTTCTCAGCCCTCTTGTGCTTCTGTGCAGTGGGAAGAAAGGAAATGGGCAAGGCAGTCTGGGAAGATCCTTCTGGAAACACAGGTGGCAGCCAGGAGATGGCCTTTCCTGCTAGAGAACCTTGTCTAGAAACCAGGGTCTGGGATGGCACTGATTAAGGGCAAGGTTTCAACTCCAAGGTTCTGCATGGAAGCTGTAGCCTCCACTGCCCTGCTCTGGACATGGGCAGAGGCATGTGCTTACGTAATGTTAAGTTCCCATCTAGTATCTAAATTCCCATCTAATGTTTAAAGTGTACTTCTTCACACAGTTCCTAAAGAGACTTGGATTAACCTTGAAGTTAAAGAGGAATGAATCTTTTTACGGTGTGAATTTTCCACATAAGGCAAACACAGATACATTAATATGCCAAGAGATTGTGTTAAAACGTCAGCTATTGCCACCTAAACTTTAAAACCAGGGTACGGCCATAGTGGGATGTGTCTGTGGTGTTTCTGGTCCCTCCCCTACCACGCTAGGGCCCAGGTGGAATCACATCTGAGGGCAGGTGAGGCTTGTTCATTGAGCAAAAGGAATGGAAAGGATTGCGAGCTAAAAACCTACAGAGTTCGCAGTTAGAGATGAAAGGCTGCAGAAATGTTTATTGAATACAGTGCCAGGTTTATAAATAGAACTTATTTACAATTTCCATAGAGTTGGTCCCCCATCAGAGAGGTGGTTAAATCTCCAAACAGCTCACCTCACGATTTACAGAAACGTTCAAGTACATCTCCTTTGCAAATCGCCACGGTGAAGGGTGACTTCGGTAACAAAAGAACTACCACCATCTTTGCTACAGACATGTTTAATGAACATTATAATAGATTTGGAGAAAGAACACACACTCCACCCATGCCACTACCTTCTCACTCTGAGGAATACAGACAGCAAAGAATTTCTGTCTCCTACAGGGTAACTTCAAGGGATCAAAAAAGATAATAGTAACCGCCAGCTGAAGGGATAGATTAAGACACATTCGTGGAATCTAGTCACTGCCAAAAGGATAAATGTATTTAGGATATACAATAATTAATTCAAATGTTAAAAATAATTGAATGAACCAAGAGCAGACTTGACCAAATTTACATTCTTTGTTTAGGAAGAAGTTCCCAGTATGCTGAGGGGCTGCTAATATGCTGCTACTCCGACGGGGCCACAGCAGCACGAGGCCTACTGGGCGGCCACGTGTTACAATATGGTTACAAGTACAGTCAGACATGCATTTATAAAGAGAATATAAAAATATGTACAGTAGCTAATTTTCAATGTGTTTTAAGTTGCCGAAAGACACCAATTTAAAGTGTGCAAAAATTCGTTTGTCAAAAAATCAGAAAAAAACCTTCCTTGGCAACAGTACATCAAAAGTCCATCTGAAATATCAAGATACATTTACCTTGCTTGACACCTACCCCGAACAGATGGAGAACAAAACTATGAAAGTATATGCCAAGGACTCAGCAGTATTTTATGGCAAGTCTCAGGCTCCTGCGGGATGCCAGTTAAACTAGTCACTTTATATATGTGTGTATATATATATATATATATTTATAGAGCAGTTAGAAGTAGGGCAAGAGCTTACAGGAAGGTGCTGACCAACTTTCACAGTACTGCCACCTCATCCAGCTATTTCCTCTCACAAACTCCTGCAGACTGCAAACACTCAACCCCTGGGCTGGTCGTCCCCCTCAAAGGCCAGAGAGAAAGGCTACAGTGGACTGGACTGAGTTCCCTGCGCACCAAAGTGGAACTCAGCATCCCCTGGGGGAAAGGTTTCTGGTTCCCGCACAGGATCCGGGCCATTCAAGAATCTGGTTTCAAGAGTAGTCTTTTAGGAAAGACTGCAGGACCACTAACATGGAGTCCACCCAGCTTCTAGAAAAAAACTTGGTCAAAGGGTAAGATAGAAGGCAAAGTTTCCGAAAAACAAGCCAAATCGCCCTCAACCCTTTTTAAAACTACCAGGAGGTCATCGGCCACAGGCCTGAGAGTGGGTCAACAGTCGGGCTACTCGACCTCCCTGCAAGAAACATCCAGGTTATTAACTTACTCGAAGGAGAAACCCCAGTCCTGTCTCACCAGAAGAAAACCCCCGAGGTATTCTGAGATGTTCCTTCCAGATTCAAGGAGTTGTGAAAGCCAAGCCCAGCTCATGACGTCAACCTCTCTTCTTCCAACCACCGGGTCTAAGGACCAGCACCAAAGGCAGATGGGCAGGCTCCTCTCCACTGCTCTGACCCACCCCTCTGGCGGGAAAACTAAAGAGCTGCAAAGTGCCAGAGAGACAAGAAGTAGGAGAGGGAGAAGCTGAGGGTCTCCATAAAACAGCCCCGAATGCACCCATTTGGCTGCCAAGAGCTTCTCACTGCCTCCCTAGCAGCCTGCCGCTGTTCCCTGGCAAAGTAAAACTTCTCACAGAAACACTCAAAATCCAAATCTCCTCGCTAATAAGATACAACCAAGTTAACACCGTGAAAAATGCACATCCAGCCTTCACTTCAAAAAGAGGCCTGCACTAAAAAAAAAAAAAAAAAAAAAAAAGAGGCCTGCACTGAATCCAAACGCCTTTTAGGGAGCTTTTAAGCAAACCAATCCCACTGCAAAGACCAGTACCAGCATCTCTGAGTTTTGGTTACAGGTTTATAAAGAAACACAAAATTCCCTCTGGGCTGGGAGTTTTACTTTCAACTTGGGAGCTAGCATTAGTTCTACTTGGGGGGTGGGGAAGCAAAGTCAAGTCAACCTAAAAAAAAAAAAAAAAAAGTAAAAGGAGTCTAAGGTAAGTATAATCATAAATTAAAAACTGTGAATCAAAAGGTGACTGGTAGTGTCTTTTAGGCATGAAAAGCCTGGCTTAGAAAAGTGACTGCTTCTACCACACACAGCGAGGATTGAATTACAGACACACTAAATCATGTCTTTTGCACAGATGGTCTCAAGTAGTTACATAAAACAGGTAATCAGCAGCACAATTGATAAGAACCCCTAAATACATGCTTGAGAGAAAGTGGTTTTTTTCCTTCATTTAGAGCTCTACTGCCTGAATAATCATTAAGTTACCATAATTCACTTTCCCCCCTCCCCCCGCAGTGAAAATACAAGTAGACCTACACGTCCATAAATAAGATGAAGCAATCGGTATCTGCTTGGTTTTAGGCAAGGTCTCAGGCTCAGCAGTTGGTGCCGGGATTTCAGGAGGGAGGGAGGGAGGGAAACCCAATGCTGGGCTGTGGGCATTTAAAGGTACACTTGCCTCCCCTCCAACTGCCTTGTCCCCGTTTAGATCTCAGCTTTACAAAGCATTTAACACCACTTTAAGTTAATGGTCTTTTTATTGGAAAAAAAAAAAAAAAACTAGCATTTACAACTTGGAATGGACGTAAATTGTAATTTCTTGAACAGCAATGTTGATGGTTGTGCTGAAGTCCACAGCCACAGCCTACTCTGCTGGCTCCAAGTCATGGTTCGGAAGGTTTTAAAAACAGAGAGTCCAAAGATGCTCCCTTGATAAAGGTTTTTAAAAATTTGTATGAATGGTGATAGCCTGACACCACTCCGCTCTAGCACAATGCAGACAAGGCTAAACCAACACACGTGGGCATGCCACCAGGGTGTGTCCCGGTCATGACAGGTAGGGGCACGGGGGAGTTACAAGAGGGCCATCCTGCTAGTGGGGCTATGCCTGGACAGTTTCTCTTCCACAGCATCCTGAGGTAAACCAATCTTCAATGTCTGTTTTCAGTAAACCAGCTATGACGATTTATGGTAACAAATTGAACTAGAGCCCCTTTGAATAGGCTTTGAATTTGTTTTTTTGTTTTTCATTTTTAATACAAACGCCTGACTGCGCTCAACTGTCAAGCTGCATGCATGAAAAACTGGCCAGCCCGGACAGTGTATTAACCATGAGCGGACGGACCTGCCAGGTGTCCACTAAGTGCTTCCTTATCATTAAGGTAGGACAAGTATTTATATCGGAAAACTGATGTAGCTTGATCTTTAGGGGACAGGACCACCAATCGATACATGCAGATTTTGTGTGTGTGTGGACAGAAGGTACTCTTGACATTCAGTTTTGCTATATAGAAACAGAATGAGTAAATGAATTTTTTTTTTTTTTTTGCAAGAGGTAAGTAAAAGATCAATTTGATTCTTCTAGAGGGGGGAGAAAAGGAGTTGAAAGTAGGTCTTCATTTTGCAGTCATCATCTGTACGAACTCTGAAAAGACAAATAATCGTAACTTTCGGTTATCTTCAAAAGCAGCCTTAATGAACATAACATCTCTACTCTGCATAAGGAAAAAGAAAAAAAAAAAAAAAATCTAGTTCGAGTAGCTCACTTGTTTATAGACCCTAAAGGGAAAGCCGTAAGCTAAGCTACGGCAGCTGGGTGTGCTACCTTCGTAGTTGACTTGTCCGTCTCCATCGATATCTGCTTCTCTGATCATTTCATCTACTTCTTCGTCGGTTAGTTTTTCTCCTAAGTTCGTCATGACGTGACGCAGCTCTGCAGCACTGATGTAGCCATTGCCATCCTGTGAACATTCAGCAACTGTTACTGGTAGGGACTCCTAGTGGTTCGGTGTGGGCAAGTAGGCCTTTGACTTAATTAAGCCCCTCAAGTTACTGCCAACTGTGTGTACGTCGGCAGTTCTCCATCTCCAGTTCCCACGTCTACCCACTAAACACATGCCGTCAGCCAATGCAGACACTGCAGGGGCTTTTGAAAAGCAAACAGAAATTGAAAGTCACAATCAAGAAACTTGGTTCAAAATCTCTCTACTATTTATTACGTTTACTCGCATCTGATAAGGTTACTACAATAAGTCAGGATATCTGAAAATGAGATTACAGAGGCTCAGGCAGTTAGGTAAGTGTTCTAACTAGAACAGAACGTTAAAGCTTTTAGAAATGACAGCCAGAAAGCCATATTTAAGTACAGTCTGCAATGCAGACGCAGGGTTACCTTGTCAAAGACTCGGAATGCCTCGCGGATTTCTTCTTCACTGTCTGTATCTTTCATTTTTCTCGCCATCATAGTCAAAAATTCTGGGAAATCAATGGTGCCATTACCTCAAATAAAAAAACAAAAGCTCATGTAAAATAAGCGCTCCAGTGACGCTACCCTGGAGTGATAGTTTTAGAACCACTTTATAGAACAGTAAGCATTTGCTAGGACAAACTGGTAAATTGTTTTATTATGTTCAGCCATCTTAGGTTTAAACTATTCAAATACTTCACAGGGCAATTTCATGTGACTCACATAATTCAAACCAGTGATCAGTGCCCAGGATAGCACTTAATGATGCAAAGGAAAATGCGCATACAGACTCTTGGCCACTGAAGGTTTTGTACAGTTCAAGAGGAAAAAAAGCCCATAGCAGTGCAAGCTGAATCTTTCTACTCCCAAGGGAGGCACCTGAGTTTGCCTTCCCCAGAGTTAGGGAGGTCACTCGGATCTAGCTCTGCCTGCACTAGCGATGCTGGTGAAGGTCCATAATTGGGCCACCAGGAGTACACAATGTTTTTAGGAAAGAAAAGGATTATGAGCGGGAAAAAAGTTGACTTTGTTATGCCAGGGACCATAAAGTGTTGCAAAGTCTTCTCCAGGAGGCATTTCTCAGCCACATTATGGTAAGTCACCTAATCATTTTCTCCCCAACTCAGTATCTTTATTTCCCATTAAGGGCAAAAGTGTTTTCTCAGCTCAGACTATTAACATTCAGGAAACTGTCAGAAGAATCTGTTTTATGGCCAGTATTCCAAACAACTCCTCCTTTAAAACCAACAGCTCAATGAACACCCCAAAGACAAGTCACCAGATCAACAGTGTTACTTGAACTAAACAGAAACAAAAATTAAATTAGAAGAAAAAAGCCTTACGTTAAGTCACTCATTTTCACCAGTACCTTTAAATCAAAATAATAATTCAGAGATTCCTTCAAATCTATTTAGCCTCCAAAATTTTTAAGCATTATTGACATTCACGGAAGACAAAATTATTTGAAATGCTCTCTTACAGCCACACGGCCATGTCCTTAGGCATCATATTTATTCATTGTGAGTACCAGATTCTATACCTTGAGACAACTTTCCCCACCTTGTTCCATAAAACCCGAGGGCCTAATACACTTTGCCAGTCCCCAAGCACAGCTTCCCCGGGGCTTACACAAAACATGAGAGCGCCACCCCACATTCCCAGATGGCTGATCACCCTTAGCAGTCAAACGAGACGGAACTATGAAAAACCTCTTTTTCCAAATTACTAAGATGAAAACAGTCTTTAGAAGTAGTTCAAATGGGGTAAAACCATTGTTAAAGAGCTGACCCAAAACCCCTGCTTCTAAATGTATATGACCAGAGAAGTGTAATTCCATTTTATCACCTTATGACATATTTTTAAATGGCTACTATCATGCCAATCATCAAGAAAGTAGTCTAGATCCAAATTGTTTATTCCTACCTCTTTTCAAAATTTACTAATGTTCTACAATGTCTGTAGATTTGATTAATTTACTTCAGTTTATTAAATAAATTAAAATTATTAATTTAATTGATATTATTTCCAAAAAACGTGTTTTCTTTGGGGGGGGGTGATCAAAAATGACTTACTGATAGAAGTGCCCAATAAAAGGTCTACTGTCCACTGTTCTGGAGTCCAGAGGAACGAACAACCAAATGGTGACCAACTGCTGGAGGGGTTACTGCTTGTCCCTTCTGGCTCCACATCCTTCTACTAGCTTCTATAAATCTACTCCCTACAATCATCATGCACCCCACCTCCAAGCCTCAATGATCCTCAAAATCCTCTTCAATAAACACACTGACAGGGCTTCCCTGGTGGCGCAGTGGTTGAGAGTCCGCCTGCCGATGCAGGGGACACGGGTTCGTGCCCCGGTCCGGGAAGATCCCACATGCCGCGGAGCGGCTGGGACCGTGAGCCATGGCCGCTGAGCCTGCGCGTCCGGAGCCTGTGCTGCGCAACGGGAGAGGCCACTGTTGTGGCCTCTCCCGTTGCGCAGC